GGGGAATGTTGTCCAGGGAGAAGGAAAGGGTTAGTTTGATGGAAGACACTGGCCAGGCCAAGTTTTCCATGGAGAAGGCCCAAAGGCAGATAAGGACCTAGTCTTAGTGAAGCCAGGATCTTGTGGGCTCTGGATGAGGGAGGCTGGAGCTGTGGGTGTTGTGGTGGGGTAGGCTGGGGGAGGCAGTTGTTAGTAGGCAGGAGATCCAACTTTTCAAACAGCTTAACTAGCCGGCCATGGTGACTCACACCTTTAAACCCACCATGGGGGGCACAGAGGCAGGTGGATCTCTGTGGCCAGCCTGGTCTAAATTGACTTCCAGGACAGCCAGGGCTATATAATGAGACCCTGTCTCAAACAAAATAAGACAAAACCAAAAATTAACAAAAGGTAGCTTAACTGAAGTTACATAATTATGCACCCAAACTACTCTAATTAAGGTATTTTAATGAGTTTTGTCTTGTTTTGAAACTACCCTTCCCTTCAGAATGAACCATCCCAGGCAGCTACAGGTCTTTGTGTAACAGGAGATTATTTTGCATTTCCTAGAATTTTATGTGAATGGGACTGTTCAGCATGTCCCTTTTGTGGTTTGACTTAGCTCAGCACACTCGAGGCCCCTGAGTCTTCATGGTGTCAGTTTATTGTCCCTTCCTCACAGCTGTGTAGTGCTCCATTGGCTTTGGCTACCGGAGGGCTCAGCCAGCTACCGGAGGTGGGGGAGGGACTGGAACACCAAGAGAGCCTCAATTTGGGAGTGGAGTTATCATTTGGCCTGCTGGTGGTTCTCTGGACACCCTATTTGCAAGGCTGTTTTTAACTTGGTCCAATTTAAAGGTTACCCAGTAATCTCCAAGGGACCTTCATCAAAAAATATTTTAAAGTGGCCTGATGTCATGGTGGACAGAGCAGACACCACACTAACCAAGGAACTTAAAAGGGGAGCTGGGGAGATGGTTCAGTGAGTGAGGCCCAGAGTTCAGATACCCAACACCCATGTAAATGCTGGGCGGGTGTAGGGACCCACTGCAACCCCAGGGCTCAGGAGGAAGATATAGGCGATCCCTGGAACATGTTTGCTAGTTAATACTACACCCCAAACAGCAAACTCTAGATCCAAGTGAGAGATTTGGCTCCAGTGTACAAGGTGGAGAGCAACTGATAAAGACGTATGTTCATCAACTTCTGGCTTCTACATATACAAGACACAGGTGCACATGTACCACCCTCACACGTGTTCCCCCATACATCCAACACACCCACGCACACACCATATTCACATGTAAAAAACAGAAGCTAAAAAAGGAAAACTGGACAATGAATGGGGCATAGGTGCTTTGCAACTCCTGAAATTTGTTCTCTGACCTCTATATGTACATACACTGTGGCACGTGAACATCCACATTCACACATGTGCATACATAAAGACACAATAAAATTCTTTAAAACTTAAAACGTGGGCTGGAGAGATGGCTCAGAGGTTAAGAGCACTGGCTTCTCTTCCAGAGGTCCTGAGTTCAATTCCCAGAACCCACATGGTGGCTCACAACCATCTGTAATGAGATCTGGTGCCCTCTTCTGGCCTGCAGGGATATGTGCAGACAGAACATTGTATACACAATAAATAAATAAATCTTTAAAAAACTTAAAACGTTTTAAGTTCAAAGAAATAAAGGAAAACATCTAAAAAAAAAGGTGGTATGACAATGACATTTCATCAACAGCAATGTGTGTGTGTATGTGTGTGGGGTGTGTGTGTATATGTGTGTGTGGTACATGTATGCGTGTGTGCGTGTGTGTGTGTGTGTGTGTGTGTGTGTGTGTGTGTGTGTGTGTGTGTGTGTGTGTGTGTTATGCAGGTTGTGTATGCGTATGTAGGCATGCAGAGGCCACGGTCAGACATCAGTATCTTCTTCCATTGCCCGCCACCCTTGCAGGAGGTCACCCATGTAGCCAGCCTGGCTGGCCAGCCAGCCCCAGGGATCCTTGGGCCTCTGCCTTCCCAGCGCTGGGATTACAGCGCTGGTCGCAGAACTCCGGAGCATCCAAACTCGGGTCCTCATGCTTACGAAGGTAAACCTGTACCTTACCAGCTCAGCCACCTCCCCAGCCTCACCAACAGCCTGTCTGGATGCCCAGAGCTCCTTGGCACTTTCCCACTAACTATTCATCCTTTGAAAGCTGCTTGAACATGGCTGCCAGGTGGACAGACGGGCTGGGGAGGCTCCATAAGTCCCCTTAACAGCTAGCCCAGGCCCGAGGGAGCTGTGGCAGCGGCAATGGAGCAGGGGGATGCTGGGCAGTATTATTGGGCTGGGCAACTGCTGCTTGGAGGGTGGGCTCCCATAGAATAAAAATGGAAAAGGAGCCGGCTACCGGGAGAGGGTAGACATCAAGAAGGGCACCGTGTCTTCCCACACAGGCTCTGGGGATGGTGCAGGGATGACAGCTATGTCTGTGGCTGTGTGACAAATAGGATTCCTGGGGACACCAGATTGCCTCTCTGTGAAATGGAGATGATGACCTTGTCCAACCATGCTGTTTCTAGACTCTAAGGCGGAGTTGATAATGGGCACAGGCTTCCCTCTCCCCCCTGGGGACTTCCTGGATAGAGGCTGCCAGGCCCCAGGAGCACCAGAGTCATGATCCAGCCCACAGGATGTTTGCTTAGCCTTATCAGCAGCAGCCATGCAAACAGAGCTGAAGTGCTTGGTGTGGGGCCCAGGGAACAGCACCAGTGCAGGCCGTTGGGTATACCACGGCTCCATCTGCGTCCGGAAGAGCGAAAAGTCCACTCTCCCATGACGCCCCGGTACGACACGGACATGGAGGGTGAGGCCAGGGAAGAATCCAGCCTGTTGGGAGTGGAGTGAACTACAGCCACGAGGGGACCTGAGGCCCCAGGAGGTCAGGGAGGCTGCGGCAGCCAGGGCTTCCACCTGGGCCACCTCCCTGCACAGCTGAGCCAAGCCCCTGGTAGGATGAACACACTCAGCATTTACGTTGAGCAGAGGGTCACCTCTAGACATTGTCGCGGCTAGGGAGTAGGAGGGTGGGCTGTGCATTGGGAAATGAGAGATCTGTGATTTCCAATGCCCCAGAGAAACAGAATGAGTAGGAGCCACCCAACTGATGGGGATAGATGATGGACATCAGTAAGAGAGCAAACGATAGGCAGACAAGCTATTCACCCATACACACGTGTGTAGACAATCTCTTGTTGCTAAAAGTCCTTCCACAGGGAATATATAAACAATGTCTCTCTCCTAAGGCACCAGTCACAAAGCAAGATATGAGTCCACCAAAGTCCACTTCACAGAGCACTGGGGAGGGGTTACTGAGGGGAGGGACAGTCCTCCTACAGGATGTCACACCACAAAGTCTTCTCCACACCTGCATAGATGGAGCCCCGCCCACTACACACTCTAGCTCCGCCCCAAGGCCACGTGATATGGAGCAGCTGGATACTCAGGTGAGGTCTCTTGACCTCCCCCCCCCCTCTGTGAGGGGAAATAAACAGAATAATCCCGTCTGGAGGATGGTTTGAGAGAGGGCACAGCTGAACTCAGGATGACGGTGCAGAGGATGGCCCTGGATATAACCACATATAGTCATCTTTCATTGTGTCCACACACACACACACACACACACACACACACACACACGGAAGTAAGGGTAGGGCCACAGAATTATCCAGGCAGAGAAGTTCCACCAACACTCATTTGCTTACTGGAGACCCGGGGGAGCTAATTCAGTCTCAGTCTGGAGACCCGAGACTGTGCGTGGGGGTGGGGTGGGGGTGGGACACGGAAAAGGCCGGGCAGTGGAGTAGGTGGATCTGAGGGCAGGAAAAGAAGGATACACCAGCCTAAGAAGAGAGAATGGATCACTCCTTTACCTCCTTCTAATTGGGTTCCCAAAGGGTGGAGCCCAGGCTGGTGAGTGGTATTTTCCTCACTGGTCCACTGATTCAGACGCTACAGATGTATTTCCTGGTGTAGTCAGTGAAGGTCTTATGCAGCCCAGGCTGGCTCACGTGTCTCAAGGCTGGTCTTGAACAGCTGATCTTCCGATCTTTACCTCCCAAGCACTGGGATCACAGGCGTGTGCCACCAGATCCCCAGTGCTCATCTCAGGAGACACTGTCACAGAGGCGTCCACACGTGATGTTTTTTGCCAGATCCCTGGGAATTCTTAGCCTCTTCTTACCCTTTTGTCTATTTAGTACCCACACTCATTACCCTAAGCCACACCTCATCTCCAAAGACATACCTATTCTCGTACAGCCAAAGCCCCCCCAACCTCCTCTCCCAGGAGAAGGTGACATCTTTGAGCAGTGTCTATGCCTTTAATAATCCATAACTTAAAATACTATGATCTGAAAGTGCAATTCTCACATACTGATAAAAGTCACTACATTGCTAGCAGCGGTGGCGCATGCCCTTTAATCCCAGCACTCGGGAAGCAGAGGCAGGTGTATCTCTGTGAGTTCGAGGCCAGCCTGGTACAGAGTGAGATCCAGGACAGGCATCAAAACTACAAAGAGAAACCCTATCTCGAAAAACAAAAACAAACAAACAAAAAAGTCACTACATCTTACATGGTAGGGAATAAAGAAGAGATTTGCATCATACTTGGATCTATGCACAGATGTATTTATAACAAAGAGGAATTAGGACATTTCACAGTCCTCAGCTTTGTGACTGTCTGTAGGTGGTAGCAGGCACTTACAATCTACCTTCCATGTGTTCTGTACTTGCTCTGACTGTACCATGTATCTCAACACTTTAGAGATTGTATTTTATTTTTAAAAAATTCTGCTACGCCGGGCGGTGGTGGCGCACGCCTTTAATCCCAGCACTCGGGAGGCAGAGCCAGGTGGATCTCTGTGAGTTCGAGGCCAGCCTGGGCTACCAAGTGAGTCCCAGGAAAGGCGCAAAGCTACACAGAGAAACCCTGTCTCGAAAAACAAAAAAAAAAAAAAAAAAAAAAAAAAAAAAAAAAAATTCTGCTGGGCGGTGATGGCGCACTCCTTTAATCCCAGCACTCGGGAGGCAGAGGGAGGTGGATCTCTGTGAGTTCGAGGCCAGCCTGGGCTACAAAGTGAGTTCCAGGGCAGGCTCCAAAGCTACACAGAGAAACCCTGTCTCGAGAAAAAAAAAAAAAGTGTGTGTGTCTGTGTGTGCGCGCACGTGTGTATGAGTGTAAGCACCTGCAGAGGCCAGAAGAGCGTGTGGGATTCCTTGGAGCTCAGATTATAAGGGTTTGTAAGCTGCCAGTGTGGGTGCTGGGAACCGCAGTTGGGTCCTCCAGAAGAGTGCTACTCACTCTAACTGCTCAGTGCCTCTCCAGCTCCTCCTCTTTTCTGAGACAGGGTCTTGTAGCACAGGCTTGACTATCCATGCAGCTGAGGCTGACCAACTCCTGACCCTCCCACCTCCTGAGTGTTGTGATTACAGGCATGTGCCACCATGACCGGACAGAAAGCAGTTTTCCTGGGATGCATGTGCCCCAGTGGTACCACGGCCATTTCCCCTTTTGACTCTTGGATGGGAGGGGTCCGGCGACGGCTGAAACCTCAGCACCTCTCCCACGCTGATCCAGAGCAAATGCAGCCTTCTGGGGAACCGTGTCTTAGCCCCATCAGGACTAGGTGGCCTTGTGACCAAGTCACCAAAGGGACAGTCCACACGTAGTTCTATTAAGATAGCCCTTGGAGCAGCGAGGAACGTGGAAAGACCTGAGAATTCTATGAGCACGGGCTCGCTGGAAGACATCTTTGGCTGCAGGGAGTGTTTTGTTCAGAGGCAATGCTGTGTGGAGTGTCGCGGTAGTGGACAGGACACTCTCTGCAGGTGGGAGTTTTAGCAGGACCGTTAAGCAAGGAAGGCAGGCAAAGCAAATCCAGTGTTTACTCCAGGAAGTCAAACACTGTCCCTCCTAGGACTGAAGATGTGTTGGAGCATGGTTTAGTGCCGGCCTCTGCTCATGGTTGACTGGGCACTCAACAGCAGACATGGTCACATCAGACTTGGGGAGTCGGAGGCTGCCACTGAGCCGACGCCTGACCTCCATTCCCACCACGGAATACTTTGTTCAAGGCAGGTAGATACCACTGTGGGTGGGGAGGCCACCTCTCTCCAGCTTAGTCCATCTTCTCACATGTTCTCATTCCAAAGCACAGAGTCCCGCGTCCCCAAGGCAACCAATCTCCTTACATTAATAACAGACACCCTGCATGGCTGTAACCCAATCACAGGACGAGGCCATCTATCTGATGTCCAGCCAGTGGCTCTGTTGCTGTAGGAGAAATAGTTCCTTCCAGCCCAGACCTAGGAGCTCTGGGTCGACATGGCGCCTGAACTAGGTCTCTGGACCCCAGAACACATCTTTTCTGTCCATCATTTTGTCCCTTGAGACCAAACACATACCGTTCGATTTCTTGGCTTTTCAAATTCTCTAGAAGTCCTGCAGTCAGAGCCGCAGCTTTGTTTAGAAGCACTAGGAGTGCACAGTGGTGAAATTCACACGCCCCTGTTCACAGGTGATGCCTTCACCAGCATTCTTGACTAGGAGGACGGTGGTGGAGTCGATAATTCCACTAGAGAGCCCACTTCAGAAACTCCTCTGCCTTAGGACCTTCTCAGTGGTTATCTTAGAGAAGACCAGGGGCCAGGGGTGGGGTTAAACCTCCAGTCACCTTCTCATAGAGCTGTGACGTTCATTCTGGTAGCTGGCGGGGTTTTCTTTCCTTTTTCAGGATGCTACATTTGTATTTGGTCCAGAGATTTGAAGGGGGTAGTAGCTACAGGAGTTCAGAACCAGGGGTCACAGGCTTAAGACAGAGGAGACCTGAGCACAAGCCGGGATCCCCTCTGAGCACCAGGTTTGACCCCCAGGAGGCAGAGGTCAGGGAGCAAAGCCCGGCTGCACTGCTGGTGACCTCAGGTGGCATGCAGATGTCACCAACAGGATGACAGTCACACACTCCTATCCTGCAGCACACGGAGTCACAGAAATGAACAAAGAGCATCCTCTCCACACTCTCAAGGCGCAGCTAATTCTCCACATGTGGGGACCCCCTCGGCCCTCCTCCGTGATGCCCTCCCAAGTGGGGGCTGTGGACCCCTGGGAACCATCCTTCCCTGAGCCATTCTCTCAGGTCCCTCTTAGCAATCCCTGTTCCCTAGACAGCTTTCACTCAGCCTCAGTCAGAGCTGAGTGAGGAGGGAGCCCTGGCTGTGGGCGCAGGCTGGCCTTTGGGCCTAAGGGTGAAATCTTCCAGGGGAGCTGGCTTCATTAATTGCATCCGTTCATTAAAAGCATGTTTTGTACGTGGTGGTGCATGCATGTAATCCCAGGGCTGGGGATGCTGAGGCAGAAAGTTTGAGTTCAAAGGCAGCCTGAGCTTAAAAAAAAAAAACAATGCTGGGCTGTGGTGGTGCATGCCTTTAATCTCGGCACTTGGGAAGCAGAGCCCGGAGTGGGAAGCCAGTCTGGGCTACATAACAAGTTGCAGGTTAGTCACGGCAAAGGAAAAGGACGGCGTGAAGGAGGGCCGACATCTTGTGAAATAGATATACAAAATTCAATCCCTTTAGTTTAAAACACATTCAACAATACAATTAAAACAAGTAAAATTGATTTCATTAAAACAAAATATAAAATAGTGTTATGTGACCCGTATCCCATATCTTAGAAAACCAGCTGTTTTGCTCACATACTTCATTAGAACAGTTTTACCTAAGTATTCAGCTAACAATCCTACTCATACAAATGACCTATTCTAGTTCCCTGAACCTAAAGACCCGCAATTGTATTTCTGTTACAGGATTTGTTATAAAATTACATTGTAAAGTTTTTTTTTTTTTTTAATATTTAAGTGTGTACAAAACATTCTCCTGCCACGGTAACGTAAATCCACGAGAGCTTTCTAGGTAGCACACACAGTAGCCGAGGCTTGAAAGCTCTGAAACGTGGCAGTCGCAGAAGTAGGCCCATTTTGGGACGTGTCGTTGGCTCTCGATGACGGCTGTGACTCCGCAGGGCACAGCTTGCTGACACCTGCATGCACATCCCACACAGTGGCTGCAGCCGAGTCCTCCCTCAGTTCCACTCAGGCTGCAGAAGCCCACGTGATGATGACATGTTCCAGAGCAGGTGGCTCTGCCACCCAGGATGGCTTTTTGCTATGCTAGGGAACACTTGCTCGTGTTTGGGAAAATGCATTCTACCTGCTTGGTCCACGTTATACAAAATAGCCTCGTCTCTGGGGAGGGTTTTCAAAGTAGATCTTCCTGTTTGCCTTCACTATCTGTACACAGACACCGTCTTTATATATTATATATTTGTATCAGACATGTATGTACACATTTACAGGCAGACCTTCAGAACGATATTGCACTTATATACAACGCAGCTTGAACTGAGCTAACCCTGCACGGTCACCCACTGAAGTTCTTCATAAGAAAGGCAGTCAAGACGTCCAAGGAAGTTGCAAGAAAGGTTCCAGTGATGCACCCTATTTAGTAAACATCGGAGGAGGAGAGGGGAGGGAGAGGGCTCAACCCTTTATTACTCAAGGCTGGGCCCACTCCCCAAGGCAGCTGGAGTTAGACTGTGGTGAGGCAAGAGCGCAAACTCCTCAAAGGCCGGCTACTGCCTGCCTGACTTGCCAGCCAGCGGCCCACGGCTATCCAGGACATAGGTGGATCTCCCGAGATTTGCTAAGTTATGTAGCAGATAACCCAAAGGTTCCCACAGTCTTATATCCAGTACAAAGTCCTCACGTTTTGCTTTCTAAGCACATCAGAAATTCAAACAACAACGTATGGATTTCTATCACGTGGGAAACCCCAACACAGCACGTGACAGGCAGCGCCATCTCCCACGTGAAAGGTTCCTTCCCTGATATTCAAGGTGTTGGCAGGGTGGGTGCCCGGGCTCCTCAGCTGGCCAAACTCTAAGTTCTATGGGACAATTTCACTGAACTCCCACACCTGGGGGCTGAGTGCCCCGCACCTTAGATCTCTGTCAGGGTGAGCTTGTAGGACCCGCCGGCTTCTTCAATCTGCAGCTGGAAGGTGTCTTCATTAGAATAGTGTTTCACAATGTTGTCGTCCATGTTCACCAGGATCCTGGACAAAGACAGGGCATGAGTCCCCACCAGCCTCCTCGGCTCTGGAGCGAGGCCTGGATTTGCTTGATAGCTGGGCATTGACTGGCTGTGACTTGTGGGGACATTGTCATACCCTCCCATGCTGTGGCTCTCTCATTCGGAAGACGGAGAGCCCCGTGGTGCCTAAGGTAGGGACCAGTGAGAGCCAGGTAGGGAGGGAACCAAGTTAAGGATCCCAGCGGTGGAAGCAGGTGGCAGATGGAGAACGCTGCCTGTTTTATCACATCTGGCCTGGAGTGCTCACGCACCAAATGGTACCCGATACAGGTTGTTCTGCGTTAGAATCGGTAGGACTCATCTCCAAGGAGTCAGTCACCTGACGGGTTACCCTTCCTGGTAAGCCACCCTCAAAGTTTAAACAAAGTAGTTAAGCTTAACCTTTCCTGTTAGATTCATCTTGAAAATTCCAATTAGCGTTTGGTTGAGAAATAAGACAAAAGGTCTTATACTATGTATTGTGCTAATTCGTGCCAATGAGCACAAACACTTCAAGGAAACCAGAACTAAAAGTCGTAATTTCTGGGGCCAGCAAGATGGCTCAGCAAGTGAAGGGTGCTTGTGGCTGTGGCCAAGCCTGGCGACCTGTGTGCCATCCTCGGTACCCGCGTGGAAGGAGAGAACTGACTCCTGAAAGCTGACCTCTGACCTTCACGAGTGCATTGTGGCACAGACACACACACACACACACACACACACACACACACACACACACACACTATACTAAAAATTAATTTCTAGACAAGAAACAATTTTCTGTAGCTTGAAAATACAGCCTAGGGTAGGGCGTTCAAGAAAGGAAAAGGCTTTGGGGTCAGTCAGAACTGGTTTGAGTCATAGCCCCACATCACCAAACCACACAATCACAGACAGGCCCTTCCTCCTCTGAGCCTCAGATACCTCATTTAAGAACACTAAGACCCATCGCAAAAACATGAAGTGGAAACCAGGTGAGTGGTGTGAGACGTGTGACAGGAAGAAGACACGGACCTCCTTAGGCAGCTTCCTCGCACACCCCGGAGGGCGGAGCCACTTCACGGCTCTCAGGCGAATACAGATTTCCTTTTTCCCTTGAAAAGCTGATCTTGCTGGGCGGTGGTGGCGCATGCCTTTAATCCCAGCACTCGGGAGGCAGAGGCAGGCAGATCTCTGTGAGTTTGAGGCCAGCCTGGTCTACAAAGTGAGTTCCAGGAAAGGCGCAAAGCTACACAGAGAAGCCCTGACTGAAAAACCAAAAAACTGATCTTCAAATTTAATAAGGAAAAGAAAGCGAGGCATGGTGGTTCACGCCTACACTTCCTGCACTGGGGAGCCTGAGACAGGAGGATTGCCAAGAGTTCAGGGCTAGCCTGGGCTACAGAGTGTGACCCGACTCACTCTTCCACTTTCTCCCACACAAACAAAAGCAGAAACCCCAGATTTAACACTTGCATTTTCATGGCTGCTTCTGGACGGCATGCCACTGAGAGCACGTCCCGTCAGAGCTATGGACGACTGTTCAGGGGCACACAGAACACTGGTCATTACTCACCCTTTCTTGCACTTCTTAAATATTTTCCCGATCTTGTCATGGGGGACGTCATACTTGTCTGAGATCTAAACGAACAGAGAACAAGAATGTTGTTGTCAAAGCTTTAGAAAACAACCGCACAATTACACTCAAGTGTCCATTTTATCTTTTTTTTAAAGATTTTTATTTATGTGTACGTGTGTACACATATTTACTAATTTTGAATTTGTGTGTACGAGCGTTTTGTCTGCGTGTATGTCTGGGTACCACATGATGCCTAGTACCTCTGCAAGTCAGAAGAGGACTAGTTACAGACAGCCATGTGCCATCATGTGGGTGCTGGGAACTGAACCCTGGTCCTCTGGAAGAACAGCCAGTGCTCTTAACCACTGAACCATCTCTACAGTCTGTGTGTGTGTGTGTGTTTTGAGACAAGTTCTTACTAGGGCCAAAGCTGGCCTCAAATTTGGAATTCCTTCTGTCTACCTGCCCCTCCCAATATTGGGTTTCTCTGTGTAGCCCTGGCTGTCCTGGATCTCACTCTGTAGACCAGGCTGGCCTTGAACTCACAGAGATCTGCCTTGCTCTGCCTCCCGAGTGTTGGGATTAAAGGCGTGCGCCACCACCGCCCGGCTATGGATGACATTTTTAAGGCTTTACTATATTGTCAGCTTCCAAGTGGTTTGCTACACAATAACACACACACACACACACACACACACACACACAGAGTTAAACTGCCCCCTAGGCCATCACACATGGAATTCAGCAGAACAGACATGACAGAGTGATCTACCTACCAACTCCAGGCTGGTCACAAGGGACAAGACAGACCTGCAGTCAAGCAAGGATGCCCAGGGCGGGCCAGAGGCAGGCAGTGCCACAGACATCCACAAAGGACGGCTGGGAAAAGAGGTCAAGGTTCCAGCGTGGCAGAGGATTCGCGTTGTCTAACAAAGTGCTTCAGCGGGACTGCGAGGCTCCCCGCATTTCTACAGAGGGACTGTGGTGTGCGTCGTACTTACTGCCTCCATCAAGCCCTTCAAAGATGGCGTCTTGAGCATCAGAGCATCAAAGACTTCTTCTGACTCCTTTCGGACATAGAGCAGCACTGGGTGGGGGCGGGGGAGAAAAGCAGTCAATTCACATGAGCAAATTCATGAAAAGAGATCACAGGTCCTAGTTACGATGGCCAGACACAGCTCCATGAGGAACAGCAACACACACCACCACAGTGCAAGCCTCAGGACCCAGCTGCGGCTTCCCCTGAACTCTGCCTCCCCCCACACTCAGGGAGGTGGTGGTCTGAAGGGCGAGCATGCAGGGGGCGAAACCAGAGAAGCCAAGTGCAGGAGCTCACTGTGGTCTAATATTCCCACTTATCACCGGGACCCAGCACACCTCTCTTGGGTTCCTCTGTCCGGGTCAGCTTTGCAGGTGGAGGAACTATGAAGTCATCATCGGTTCCAAAGGGCCCCCTTTTCAAGACAGACCTGTGGGTGAGCAGAAGCACAGTTAGGTCGGTCGGTCATCCGCTTCAACTCCAATAACTGCCCGAGCAGAAGGAGGTTTTTTAGAGTAGTCACTGCACTTTAGACTAAAAAACATTTCATTTTTTGTTTGGTCCAAGCCAGACGACGACCTGGGCAGCGCTCATTAGGCCTAGGCCACCCAAATGATGTGTGGATGGGCTCCGTTGCTGGACATCCTTCCATTAACTCAGCTCTGAGCCCAGGAAAGCAGAGCCAGGCCTGCTGTGACAGAAGACACCTAGGCAGGCCGGCCGCCTCCTCCGTTCGGCTTTAAGGGTTTTATGTCACAGTTCAGGGCTCTTCAGGTTGTGTCAGGTGGACAGTTGTGGCCAAAATGTGTGGTCTACGCTGCAGGAAATTCCAGGCCCACAGGTAGGACAGGCCATTAGAAGGCCTGGGTGACAACCACAGTGTAGCTTCTAAAGGCTTCCAGGAAATAGCGGGGGTGGGGGGTGGGGGGTGGGGGATGGGAGGGTGGACAAGGAGCCTAAGAGGAAAGTGCACAAGTCTGAGGTGCAGCGGGCAAAGGCCTGTGTTCTGGGGAGCGTCTGTGAGGCGAGTGAAGAAAGATGAGTGAAATAAGGACAGCAAGTCCTTTTTCAGAACGGGCCTGACAGTAGCAGTACACCTCAGCTCCCTGGTCACCACAGGAACTTGGTGACGGCACCTGCAGGAGCCATGTCTGAGACACCAGGAATGGGACCAGTGGTGCAGGCCTAGCACTCAGACAAGGCACAGTTGGCAACAAACGTGGGCTAGGAGCGGGTCTGAGGAGGGAAAGCGAAAACAGAACCAAAGAAGCCAGGCATGGGGGCTGTGACTGCCACCACAGCACTCAGAAGCCTGAGGTGGGAACTGTTCCTGAGCCTGACTCTGGACTGGGCTACACAGTGAGTTCTAAGCCAGCTGGGCCAGGGTACGGCCAGTCTCTAAAGCCCAAACCCAAACTGAGATACAGGGAGAGAGGGCTAAGGAAGCCGCCAACATCTGGGCGGTCCATCTCCATGCACTTTTGTGTGAGTAGAAACAGCAATGACCAAAGCAGACTCTACTGTTTCTTCAGAACTCAGTCATCATGGCGGACGAGCCAGGCTGGGGTCTGCAGAGGCTGTGGATATTCTAACAGCAGGGGACCTGCTGGACACAGAACCCAAGGGGGTGAGCAGGCACCTACAGAGAGGAACATCAGGCTGCAGAGGGACACGGGCTCCCTGTCCTGACTCTGCACACTGTCTCCCTACGGGGAAACCAGCTTTTCCTGGACAGGAGGCTGGGTCTGTGGCCACACAAGGAAAACACCAGCACTGAATAGAGTCAGGGCCAGGGGCTGCTCCAGGGGACGGGAGCCCCACGTCAACAGAGGCCATCGGTGACTCCCTGTGAGTGAAGGGACGGCTTCATCTTCCAGAGGGAAACAGCCCTGCGCTGATACAAATGAGTGAGTAAGCTGGAAGTTTGGAGGTCAAAGAGGTATTGAAGGGTACAGTGCACGGTCTCCACAGCACAGGAGACAAAAGGCAAGACGTCTAAGCAGAGGCTTAGGCCCGTGGGCACCGTGGGCACGGCATGAGATAAACGGAGCATGGTGCCAGGGGAGGAGCTGTCAGGGGACAGTGTTGCCGTAAGCCATCCTGCCACCGTGCACATCTGGAGTGCGCCGTGAGGCCTCAACTGCAGAGGCCCCGAAAGTAAGTCAAAGCAGGTTGTTCCAGACTGAGACGGTTAGCCACATCACCATGGGAGGCTCTCAGCTGGATCTGGCCTCGCCCAACGGTGTTAAGGGTGTTACTGCACGATCGGTGTGACCTGGGCTGCATCTGGTCTGCGGCTGAGCCAGCAGAGTTCCCTCCCACACGGTGGGACGCAATCGAGGTCCCTGTTAATAGGAGGCGGACACCTGGCATTCAGGAACAGAGGGGCGCTGGGTCAGCTCTGCATCCTTTCTTTGGAAGCGGGGTCTCGCTATGCTGCCCTGGCCTGAGACTCGCTGTGTAGCCCAGGATGGCTTCAATTCCCATCTTCCCGCCTCAGTCTCACAAGTGCTAGGATGTTGGTTGGCGTCACTACACCTCACTGAGAAACTTGACGTAAATAGCTCAGAGGGAAACAGGCTCTTCTCATCGGATCTCTACATTTTTGGCGAGTTTGAGTTTATTAGAGTAAAAGAAAACGTAAGCCTTACCCTTCACCTTCCAGTTCTTCAGGGGGGATGGGAAGAACCTAAGACCAAAACCACAGATTCAGACTGTTTTCCAAACTCGTTCAAAAAGTTCAGACAACAGATAAGTAAATTAGTCCCAAGATGGAGATAATTTTGAATGTGACACCAAATCCTTCTTCTAAAGGACACAATCCTGTAGCCATATCTTCCAACGCCCGGATTTTTTTACAGCTGACTCAGGGGCTGGTCTCTGTGGACCCAACCTGGTGGAGGCTGGCTGATGTCAACGTTTAGTGGAAGGATGCCCCACTCATTCAGTCCCTCACTGTGTGTGGCTCCCTCTGCAACAGAATGGCAGAGTGGAATAGCCCCCCGGGGACGATACAGTCCAAAAAATCTGAGCCATTCACTGGTACCAGTCCCTTCACAGGAAAAGCCAGCAGACTGCAGCTTGCCCTGAGGTGTCTCAGTGGAGTCAGAGTATTGGTAACGCCTCTGAAAACTCTTTAGCCCCTTACAAATCTGTCCAGTAAGTGCATGGCAGGGTCTCTTCTGTGGTATTTACCTGACCTCAGTAAAAAAGAAAAGCCACACTCTCCCGAAGCTCCTGTCCCACAAAGCAGGGAGTGGCTGGCTTTTAAATGTGGCATGGGTCGCTCAGACATGGCTGGAGAGCACATGACACATGTCAATGACATCCACAATGGAAACTACAAGAAGGGGGCCTTTGGACACAGGTGTCACTCAAGCTGAGCTTACAAGACCACAGACTCGAACTCTGAATGTGAGGCTACTCTCAACATCTTCAAATGAGCTATGACATGAAAGTACACAAGTGGAACTTAGGTGACAGGTACGACACTGTATCTTTGGATCAGCACCATTTACCATTTGATTGCAGTGGGTATCATGTCACTTTCACGGCTGAAAGTTCCCGAGAGCTCACTAGCTAACTAAAGGGCCACTGCAGTCTGACTATGAAAAACGCCAGGAGTTTCTTTCTGCTGGCCCTGCAGCCTCTCCCAGGAGGCTGGTACCTACGTGACTGCCCCGCTGCAGGTTGGTAAAATGCACATCAGGAATGAAGAGGACAGGCTGGGTTTCCAGATCCAGGAAGGGCTTGAAAACCGTGATGTCCGTCCGTTTGTGTGAGGGAAGCAGCTGCACCTTAACATCGGGAACTGGGGAGCAAAAGCAGGCCACCAAGAGATTAAAGTCATGGGCTGCTGTGTGCGGTGATGCACGGCTTTAATCCCAGCACCACCACCCCGGTGGGGGGGGGGGGGCAGAGGCTGCTCCAGCTCTAGGATTTGGAGGCCAGCCTGGTCTACACAGTGAGCCAGAACCAGCATCCAAAAAGCCTGAGCCCAGGATAACCCAAGACACTGGCCTGGAGTTCTGTGAGCAAGCCTCTGCCCTCCTCTCAGGTGATGGCGACAGCCATGTCAGCCTCGCCATGTCGGCCTCACCCCCATCCAGCCCACACTCTGCAGGGCACGCCACCTCATGCGTCCCCGGGAACCCGGGTCAGCGCGCTTGCCTTTTCTCTTGCTCTGCTTCCGCTCTTCGTCCCTGATTTTCCGCTCAGCGCCCTGCAGACAAAGGAGATAAGAGCCTGCAGGTCAGGTCCTCTGGGAATGACAAGGCTCTCTGGAAGTGAATGCCGTCATAGGACTTGCCACATGCGTTTCCTCTCAAAAGCCCACCCCTCTCACTGAAGTGCATCCTAAGCATGTATGGAAATGTCACATGGAAACCCCTTTCTACAATTAACATATCTAATAATACTTTTACAACTTCTTAAAATCATTTCTGGCTACATCAATCATGGGGAACATTTTTTTTTAAACTTTACTTTTTTTTCTTAACATTTATTTTATTATGTATAGAGTGTTCTGTTTGCATATATCCCTGCACACCAGAAGAGGACATCAGATCTCGTTGCAGATGGTTGTGAGCCACCATATGGTTAGCCAGTGCTCTTAACCTCTGAACCATCTCTCCAGCCCGTCACAGGGAACATTTTAACCACAAGTAAAGCAAAATTCCTCTTGACAACAGATGCAGCCAGGTTAAAGGAGAAGCTGAGAGAGCCCGCTAGCACACCACATTGCCTGCCCAGGTGTGGGCACCTTCCCCTACCTCACAGGAAGGGACCATGAAAGAAAAAAATTAAATTTAGCCCTGTAAATATTCCCTGTGTGGCGAGGTCATCACAGAGAGCACTGGCTCTGTCCAAAGACATGGTGGCCGCGAGTGACAGACACAATCAGGTATCCGTCACAAAAACAAAGATGTCTCTAGTGGTCTTTGTGCTGTGTGCTGTAAAAGGACTTATCTGTGCTATGTGTCCATCAACTGCACAGAGTGGCAGCATCATGCAACTGAACCCACAAAAATAGTCACGAGAACTCTACTAGTAGAAACCACGACCTGACGTCGGGTACCATCCCAGATGTCAACACTCAATCCTTCTCCTTTGTCTAGTGATAACGTCTCTGGACCGTGCAGATGCCCAGCGAGGCAGAAACTGTTGGCTTTGTTTCTGTTAAATACACTCCCTGATAGGAAGGAGGAGGGAAGGGCCTCTCAGCGATCTTTGGCATCATTAAACGATAAGGATCAGGTGTGAAAACAGAACACAGAACTGCCTGCCTGCTCTAGAAGGTGCTAACATCTTGTACATGGACATGGCAGATGTACAACATGGTAGATACACAGCCTGCTTCTAAGAATGGCTATCTATGGGGCCAGAGAGACAGCTCAGCAGGTAAAATCCTTGCAACACAAGGGTAAGGACTAGAGTTCAGGTCCCCAGAAGCCATGTAAACTGTGGGTGGGCACTACAGCCCTGCCTACAGTCCCAGTGAGCAAAAGGGAGAGACTGCCTAAGTCTGGAGTAAGCTGGCTAGCAGGAGCTGCCAAACTGGCAATTTGGGTTCAAATGAGAGATCCTGCCTCAACATATACCATGGAAAGTAATCAAGGAAGATACAATACATCAAACTCTGACCTCTTCACACACATACACACACACACACACACACACACACACACACACACACACACACACACACACCGTCTCACGTGGATATCCACACGCAAATAAATACATACACACATGCACACACACCACACACAAATACAATGAAATAATTGCCATATGCTGCTGACACAGACTCCCTGACAGAGAAGCAGGGCAGTGTGTCCCCAGGCCCCTAGCCAATCCGGGATAGAGCTGCATGTCTCCCTGTGCCTCCTAACAGCCTCGGAGTAACTTCAGTTAGATGAGGAGCTGTACCTCCACCCCAAAGGTGGTCTCACAGACCTTGTCATTAGCCATATCCAGAAGATTAACAAGAAACTCAGGCTCACAATCGACTCTGAACTGACGGCCCCTGCAGAGTGGGAGGGGGCAGGACAGGCCCTTCGGCTGTAAGCCCTGGTGCCTCCAGAGTGCCCGCTGAAGAAGAGTAAGGACGACAGAGCACAGGGGATTCCATCCTGAGAGCGCAGCAGCTTCCAGGTACATGGGGTGAGAAGAGGCTCCTCTAAACACACCCCAGACACAGAAACACACCCTGACATGCACACAGGGTGAGCACACTGTCTGTTCTTACCAACTGGACTGGAAAACGCTATCCTCTCTCAGGGCACTGAGCCAACACCCAGGAAAATCCTGCTCAGTAGTGCAGGGTAATGAGCCTGGCACAGTGTGGCCCCAGAGTCACCTATTGGATCATAAGATGACACCTGAACAAATCGACTGTTTCCAAGAAACTTAATGAGGTCTCAGGACAAACCTGAAGAAGAGACCTAGGAATAAAAACACTCAGCTCGCCGGGCGGTGGTGGCGCACGCCTTTAATCCCAGCACTCGGGAGGCAGAGGCAGGCGGATCTCTGTGAGTTCGAGGCCAGCCTGGTCTACAGAGCGAGATCAAGGAAAGGCGCAAAGCTACACAGAGAAACCCTGTCTCGAAAAACCAAAAAAAAAAAAAAAAAAAAAAACCACTCAGCCCCAGCAAGGCAAAGTGCACAAGGCCAGATGCCCAGCAAGACAGCCAGGTTTCCATCCCAACAGAAAGGAAGTCAAACCATGGAAGTGGACCCAGACACGGGCACAAGGCACAGACATTAAGTCAGTAATGTCGTTTTATCCCATATGTCAAAAGCTATCAAAAAACTTCGCCTGGCCTGAGGGTGTGGCTCAGTGGGACAGCAACTGCCTAGTGCGCACAAGACTCCACGTTTGCTCAGGACCACAAGAGGAACCACCAAAAACAATAACAACATCACTACCAACAGCAAAACCAAACCCACCGCTCCCCAAGTGGGTCCAGCTTGAACTTTCAGAGAAGAAAATGCCAGTGGACAGAGTTCAGCTCCGTGGTTCAGACCCGGCAAAGGATCAGCAAACCTGGGGCCTAACGATGGGAACTCTCCGGAATGAGGTAAGAAAAACCAAAACAACAACGATGGGCCATCGGCGAAACTCAAAGCACTTCACAGGTCTAACTGGAGAACCCAAGAGGAAGGAGCAGCCATGTCTGAAGAAACAGTAGAAAAGGCAGCGACCCAAGTTCCACTGGTTAGAAATCCAAACTTGGCCACGTTTTCCCTGAAAATGTGGGGAGTGGCTGTTGTTCCTGAAAAGATGAGAAACTCACGTATCAACCAGCTCAGCAGCTCATAACGAAGGAAGGAAATATACCGCCGATACATCAAAGGACGTCCCAAAGTGCCTTACTTCTCATTTCTGACTACAAGTGAGAGTTGAGAGCCGGGAGGAGGCACCGGAAGACAGCGAACAACACATGGGTCAAACTCAGAGGACAGTCAGGGCAGCGGAGAGCTGAGCAACTCCGGTTTGCAGAGGCCTTATGAAAATAGCGTGTGCAAGACACTCAAAAAGTGAACTCGTGAATTCTCAAGAATGTCCAGGGAAATTATGAGTCAGCAAAGATTTAACAGAACACCAGGTGTTAAATTAAAAAGTTTGAATAGAACTGCAATTTCTCTAGTTTTATAAAAAGAATGAGCCGGGCGGTGGTGGCTCACGCCTTTAATCCCAGCACTCAGGAGGCAGAGGCAGGCAGATCTCTGTGAGTTCGAGGCCAGCCTGAACTACAGAGTGAGTTCCAGGAAAGGCGCAAAGCTACACCGAGAAACCCTGTCTCAAAAAAAAAAAAAAACAAAAAAACAAAAAAAAACCCAAAAAAGAATGAAAACATCCTGATAGCTCCTCCGAAGGGCTCTTCTTTGTCTTCGAGACTGTGTGTGTATATGTGTGTGCGTGTGTGTGTGCCTGTGCATGTAGCCCAGGCTGGCCTCTGTCTCCCAGTTCTCCTGGCCTCTCAGGTGCTGGTGCCACACACCTGGATCAGCAGCTTTTCTCTGGTCTCCAGAGGAATGTGGTCAGATGGGAAGAGCCGGACCTGCGTCACAAGGGCTCGTGCCCACCAGCTCTGACTCACTGTTTCCACGGACAGCCCACGGGAAGCACCTGTGTTCCACTAATCTCCACACCTGATCCCGGGGCCTGGGAAGGAGCAGATTACAAGGCAAAGGGGAGGGACGGCGGCTAGATGACTGGCTGGAAGATGGGGAAATGACCCTAGGTCAGCTGTGGAAGCCCGAGGCGATCACAAGGGACCAGACAGCGGAACAATCGGAGGTATAATGAAGATGTGAGCCGCTGCAGGCTTGAGATGGATGCAAACCGTGTCCAGCAGGAGGCGGGAAAGGGATGGAAACAGACTCTGGAGACGGTCTAGAAAGGAATGCAGACCTGCTCACACCTCGATGTCGGCTCAGTAGGAGTGAGCTACCAATGGATAGTAAAAGGGTGATGCTTTCAGCCACGAATTTGTGGTCATTTGTTACAGGTGGAGACCCTGGCCTGCACATGCGCCCAACCAGGCAGGCTGTTGAGAAAGCTCTCTGAAGGCGAAGGGCCCTGGCGCCCTCTAGTGGTCAGACGCGGCAGCCCGGCCAGTCTCGGACCACACAGAAGCCCAGGCTCTGCACCTGGCAAAAGTGGCCTCTGTGTCCCAGGGAGAAGCAGCTGCACCAGAGAAACTTGAAGCGGATGCAGAAATCCTGGGGACGGCCTGACTGAGGGCCTTCAGGGAGGCAAGTCGGGTGGAGGGTGGTCCGTACAGTAGTTACTGATCTGGGCCCAGGACCAGGTCCACATCCTTTACTTTGGACACAAACAACAAAGCATAACATCTCATCATCCCGGTCTTTTTTAGTGCAAGCGAGTATTTCCCCTTCCTTCTACAATTTAGCTCCTTTTCATGCAAGGGTAAATGGTAAGTGCCCGCTTCAGGTTAGCGGTGTGTGGAAGGAAGCCTTCCCCAGCTGCTCTTCACTAAGCTGGCTGCTCACTCACCTTATCGCAGAAGACCTTTATCTGGCAGTAGGCCCGGTGGACTGGCTTGTTGCTGCGGTTGTTATAGCTGTAGGTGTCGATCTGGATGTTGAGTGGTAAGCCCTTCACGCCCTTCTGAGAAGAGAAATCCGTGCTTAAGCAGTTCACAGAGATGAACACCTGGGAAGGAAGAGCAGCCTCCATGAGTTGCAACTCCAGCAGCCAGCCCAGCCTGGCCCGGCCTTTGCAAATGACGGACCCTCGAGGGAGTCAGAGCAGGAACACGCGGCAGGAACCGAGGCAGAGATGGAGGAACAGCGCTTCCTACCTGGCTCTCCCTGGCTTGCTCAAACCGCTTTCTCTTACCACCCTGGGTCGTCTATCTAGAAGGGGCACTACTGGGCAGTGGGCGGGACTCTGCTGATTCTTAGAGGCAGCGGAGGCCTCATCTGGAGGGCAGTTCTGAGCACAGGCAGGGAGAGGAAGAGGGGAGCATGGGAGCTGCTGACTCCCAGGATCGCTCTTGGATGTCAGCGAGGACAAGCAGACAACGTGGCCCCCACAGCTAATGTCATTTGCCAGGGACACTGCGGTGCGTCTCCTGGCTGCTGGGGAACAACCCTGCACACTCTCTGGAACCACCTGTACCTTCAACGTCACCTCAGTCTGTAGCAGCCTATGTCCTAGTGTGGCAGGACTTCACCTAAGCTGGCTTCTCCTAATCTGTAGTTTGACTATAGAATTTCAGCGGAATTCACATGCAACCCCAGCCCGCTCATATTCATTTCTTTTTCTTCTGGGTGTTTGGTAACAGAACCACTTTGGGCCAAGTCCTCAGAGAATAATTTAAAATCCCAGTGATGTCCAAGATTCTTTTGGGGGCGGCCTTTCATAATTTAAATATAATTTGGATTCACCACAGGCTTGGGTAGACATGACAATTGGCAAAGGCTTCCACAGGCTTTAATTACGCCGGCTACTGGACAGTCACAAAACACGACTACATTCCTCATTGAGGGAGGCTCCAGAAATGTGGTGAGAACACACGAGAAGCCATGAAGACATTGTTATGGGTTGAGGGAGCCTTTGTACATGGGAGAAAGGAACTCTGTGGGCCACTGGTGGACATGTTTCCTCCAGACACAAAGCACTGTAGAGAGCAGCAGGCGGGCACTGAGGTCACCCGCCACCTCACCTTTCACCAGCAGCTGAACTGCCACTGACCCACACGGTCAGTTTTCACAAACTGTCACTAAGTCCAATAGGGTCAGTTCCCTGGAACAGCTGACATGTCCTTGATATACCAACCAGCAGAGAAGCTTCCCAGTCCAGCCCCTCCTCCGAAGAGGAAGTCAGAGAGCGGCCCACCGAGTCCTGCCTCCCTCCCAGTCACCCCTTCATGCTCACCACCTAGCGAGGGTTCTCAAAAGTTAAAGCAAATGGAGACACACGATCATGCAGTACAGGACACTTAGCAGAGCTGGTGGAGTTCTGCACAGTGAGTGAGCATGCTCCGACCCCTTCTACGGTTCTATATAGTTAGTGAGCATGCTCCGACCCCTTTATGGTTCTATATAGTTAGTGAGCATGCTCCGACCCCTTTATGGTTCTATATAGTTAGTGAGCATGCTCCGACCCCTTTATGGTTCTATATAGTTAGTGAGCATGCTCCGACCCCTTTTATAGTTCTATATAGTTAGTGAGCATGCTCCGACCCCTTTATGGTTCTATATAGTTAGTGAGCATGCTCCGACCCCTTTATGGTTCTATATAGTTAGTGAGCATGCTCCGACCCCTTTATGGTTCTATATAGTTAGTGAGCATGCTCGTCCCCTTTTATGGTTCTGTATAGTTAGTGAGCATGCTCCGACCCCTTCTACAGTTCTATATAGTTAGTGAGCATGCTCGTCCCCTTTTATGGTTCTGTATAGTTAGTGAGCATGCTCCGACCCCTTTATGGTTCTATATAGTTAGTGAGCATGCTCCAGCCCCTTTGTGGTTCTATATAGTTAGTGAGCATGCTCCGGCCCCGTTTTATGGTTCTGAACAGTGAGTGAGCATGCTCTAGTCCCTCCTTTTATGGTTCTGGGTTTGAATCTGTCTAATGTGGTCAGATGCTTCTCATTTCCCAGGCTACTGTCTCTGGAATTTATTTACGGGCACCAACCATGCAGTGGACAGGATTAAAAACACAGTTTTGTTTTGTTTTGCTTTTTTTTTCTTTTTTGGTTATTTTTTTGGTTTTTCGAGACAAGGTTTCTCTGTGTAGCTTTGCGCCTCTCCTGGAACTCACTTGGTAGCCCAGGCTGGCCTCAAACTCACAGAGATCCGCCTGGCTCTGCCTCCCAAGTGCTGGGATTAAAGGCGTGCGCCATCACCGCTTTAATGGGCAACTTCATTTCAGAGATGTGAGACCCTTACGCCACACAACCAGGACTCTTTCCAGCACCTAGGCCCCACCAGCCAAGATCGGGTGACCCGAGAAGCCCTGGCTGTCCACCTCAACTAAGACACAGGCAGGGCTGGCCTTGGGTCGTAAATGGGTTTGTGATGGGGACTGCGTGTAACAGGAGCACTGAATGGAAGAGAAGAGGACAGGAAAGAGAAGCTGGAGAGACAGAGTTAGAGCCACGGTAACCAAGAGCCAGTGCCAGGCAGGGCACAAAGTGCGGCCAGCGGGTGACTCTACTAAGTGGGAAAAGACTGAACAACCTAACAAGACTTGGGACGTGTACAGTACAAGATCTGAAGATCACCCTATCTGTTCCTTCACCAGCCTCCCCCAGATCTTTCTCACTGTCCCTGGGCACCGTCAGTCCCACCTCATGCTGACCCTGCCAGCTTCCTTACTGATCCCGTTAGGTCCACCCCACAGCCCTCCGCTGCCTGTGCTGGTCTGCAAGGGTCCGGCGGGATCCTGTCCTCCACATAAAACTTGTCTCTCCGTACAGGCTGGAACAGTGGTCATACTTGGTGCTTGGGACTATGCTGGGCTCTTTGACACGCTACAGAGCTACCTGTGCCCAGAAGAGGGCGCTGCCCTCCCACATTTGACTCTCCAGGAGCTGCTAAGGCTGTTCCAGCGGAAAGTGAGGTGCTCGCCCACCATGGTAAAGCTACCTTTCCCCACTGACCTCATCCCAGACTTGACCCTTTGGTAAAGGTCTAGATGGAAGGGTCTCAGATGCGTCCCTTTCTCTAGACTGTTCACACTCTGGCAATGTGGTAGCTTGCTTCTAAAAGTTATCTAACTATTTCCAGTAAATGAACAACATTAGTTGACTTAAAAAAAAAAACAAAAAAAAAACTTGAGTGTGTGTGCCAGAGAACAACCCGGGGCATTATCCTTTGAAACACCATCTATCCCTTTGAGACAGGTCTCCCCTAGGCCTGGAGCTCACCCGTGAGGCTAGAATGTATGGTCAGGGAATCCCAGACATCCTCTTCTCTCTGCCTTCCCAGCACCGGCTGACGAAGGTACAGCACATCACCACACCCAGCTTTTTCGGAGACCAAACCCAGCTCCTCGCGCTTGCAAGACAAGCACTTTACTGAATGAGTCACCTTCCAGCCCTGCTCCCTTTTCTTCAAAAAGACTTAAGTCCAGATTCGCAGGCAGGAAGTGGCCCTTGCGATTTCTGAACCGCGTTACGGAAGAGTCTGTGTTTTGACCCGCCGCCGCCTCCTTCTCCTGCATATTTAAAACACTTTATACGAAACCATAAACATGCAGAGAGACAGGAGACAGTCTATGGAACAGGGGTCAGCGAGATGCTTCCGCGGGTAAGGAAAGGCACCTGCACCAGGCCTTCCGACCTGGAGTCAATGTTCAGAATCCACGCGGTGGGCTCCCTGACCTCTGACCTCCACACGCATACTGTGACACACGCACATGCATGTGGACGTGCACACACACCAATAAATAAATGTGGGGGAAAAAGAAATCCGAAAGAGGAAATAAAATGAATAAGAAAGGAGAAAAAGAAGGCAGTCTTTGTAAACAAGAGAAGTTACCAAAGCACTGCACACTTCAGTTTCCAACCAAATGGAAAAATCCAAACTTCTCTCACCCTGGGCCAGGCGGCACAATTCCTAACTCAAAAATGGCTGCCTGGGGAAGTTACACTTAGCTCCCCGATTCCAGGAAGTCTCTGACCCAAAGTGCCATTCCCTTGACAAGAGGATTTCGCAGTAATCCTACCCAAACCTCACCTCCCTTGCTTCCCAGCGTCAAGTCTCTATTCACAGCAGCCAGATCCCAGGCTCAGCCTGAATGCAGAGCCTCGGGGAAGGGTCTTACAGTCTTGCTTCCATGTTCTTACTCAGACACATCTGCTTCCTATTTGTGAAAATCCTTTTCAACTTAGGAGACTTCAAAAGTTATCAAAAAGGGCTGACTCACCCTAACTTGGCATTTAAAAACTGCCTCCTTGATCAGATAAAACACAACCACACCAGTGGGTGGGACAAAGCCGGAAATAGACGCACACTTTATGAAGGACAGTGACCAGAAGACCCCGAGAAACAGCACGGCACTCACTGTCTCACGCAGTAGCATCATGGAAGAATATGCCGGGCCATCGTGGGCATCCTGGGCCAAACCAAGTGAAACCATACTGGTTTAGGCATTCACCAAAGGCCAGCAAAAAAGGCAACACCCCACCCCCCATGTTTTCGCTGGGGGAGCGGGGCGGAGGTAAGGTGCTCAACAGAGGCAGAGTTTATCTGACAATCAGAGCAACCCACTCTGTCCCCACTCTGTCCTTAACTAGCGCCATAACCCTGGACTCTGCTGTCACATGACCAGCCAAGGCAGAGGACCTTCAGGTCACTTCCAACTCCAGACCCTTGAGATGTTCCGTCCACAGTGGATGAGGAGGATGAGCCCCAAACCTTACTGTCTCTACTGCAGATAAGATGAGGGAAACAGACAGGAGTCTGGGGCCACACACCCCTTCCTGTTTGGTCCCCAGCACCCACCTAAAGTCTGGGCATGGTATCATGCACTGTAACCCCAGCGCTGAGGAGACAGAGACAAGAGAATCATTGGGGTCGGCTTGCCCTCAGCCAGTCTAGAAAGTTGGTGAGCCCCGGATTTAGTGAGAGACTGTCTCTCACTAAATAAAAGGTGGAGAGTGACTGAGGGAGACCCCCATATCAACCTCTGGCTTACACACACA